AGGCTGCTTTAGCCGTATTTTTCTTAATTTAAAAACTTGTCCTTTGTTGGCGATGAGTTTCTTCAATCTACTTTTATTGTTAAATGAAAAGAAAAAAAAAAAACTGTTGCATTTTTGAACCTGGTATTAAAACGCTTTAAATAAAAGGATTTCACAATATTTGTTATTCCCAAATTGGATTAAGCCTCTGTGATGTTAAAAAATCTGTTTTCTTTTACAATCAAATGTTCAAAAACTTATATCCTCCTCCAACACATACTCTGCCCCCCTACCTCTGTGTGATATGAAGTGTGTTTACAGCGCAGTGAGACTTCAAAGTGAGAAATACGAGGTGTCAGAGACACTGTTAAGAAGTGGTCCTTCTCTGCACTTTCATGTTACATAAGGCTTATAGTGCCGTAGCCCCTCTCCAGCTATCAATGACCCGGCTGGTTACGTAACGCCAGCGTGTGTACGTGTGTGTGTGTGCAGAGAGAGAGAGGGAGAGAGAGAGAGAGAGAGAGAGAGAGAGAGCCATAGAGTGAAAGAGTATATTGGCCTCCAGAGGCAGAAGGACACAATGTTCAGTATTGACCTGCATGTGTGCTTCAGTGATTACAGCTGCTTGATGTTTATACCTGTTGGCCGCCGTATCTCCATCTGAACTCTGCCGCACACATTGGGCCGGGTCAACTTCCTGTGGCTGGCGTGATAGCAGCAGAGATCTGATAGCTTTTGCAAATGGTCAGGGGTAATCACTTGCAGCTTTTTTTTTATTAGATAACGGCTATGTGTCACCAAGTTTTTATTCCAAACACGTCACATGTGGCGGCTTGGTCAGAGGCCCCGTGCTGTAAAATATGATCATATAGGTATCCCTTGAAGGGTCCAGTCCTGCACGTGGAGGTTCAGCGGTGTTCGCTTCATAACTATTGGAAACTCAGACACACTCAAGGGTGATACTCTTTGGTTCAGGTTGAAGGTCCTTACACACCAGGAACGACGCAAATATATGACGCAAAATGACAAAATATTCAGAAGCGAATTTTGACGAGCCTGACGATACACATCAAGGTGGAAGTGAGAAGACTGACACAACAGCAGACTGACTGTTTTCAGGACAGTGGACTCACAGTATGCAAAACATAAAATTCAAATTCGACTGTGATACGAAAAAATATATGCCACAATATCGCAGAACGGGAAAACGTCGCTGATGTGAACACTTGTATTGACAGCATACAGGTTCGAAAAATAATATTGACGGCAGAAATAATCGCACAAAAAAATGCTCCTGGTGCGACAGGACCTCAAGGCTGATTCATGCTCGCCATACGTATGAAAATGTATGCGACCATTTCAAACTATGGTTCCGTCGCTGCCCACATTCTTCCATGCATCCTTTATGTTGGCATGGATGCTAACCATTACATCCACCAGGGGGCAGACCAGAGTCGAAAGTTTCTGACAACAACAAACAAAAAAAAAAAACATGGCGACTGTGGAGGAGCTAGTGATAATATATTTTTCGCATAGGAGACAAAAACGGAGGAGGAGGTGTTCGGTCAGGCCACTAAATACTTCGCGGTTGGAGGACGGAGAATTCTTTTCTCTAGTTGTACCAATGAGAGAAATTGACGATGATCCTCAAAAAGCCCCACCATTGTCTTCTTCGTTTTTCTCCAGAGATGTGTATTGGGTAGTGACAGCAGCAACATTGCCCCCACAGTTTGTGGTGGTACTGCTTCATCTGGCCCGTATCCGTAAGAACGAAAAGAATGTATCCTTGAGCATAAATGAGCCTTCAGTCTGGACTAAGATCTGTCTTGTTTATGCTGCAACTGTTGGCACCACATTGTTCTTACGTAAAATCATGATAGCTGTACGACTTTACAGTTGGACCACAACAGCTAATAAAGAGAGTTTAGTGTATACAAATGTAGACGAATCTAGAGACTACTGACTAATCGAGGACACCTTTGGTTTTACAAAAGCTTCGATGTGTCCACACTCTGGACTTCAAACCTTGACAAACCCTTGTTCATCAGTCTCCTCTTTATTGCTGGCCTCAACTCAAAGCAGTCCCCAGTTGTTTAAAGTAAACCAATGTTCTGCAGATACAATTCGAATGAACTTTGTTTATTAAATCTCTGCCATCATTTATACATTAAAGAAAACACTTTTGACAGCAGTGGGTGTGCACAGAAACACAACATGCAATCCCAGCTTTAATCAAAATAAACAGACTGATGGACGGATTTCTTCTCCTGCTCAGACAAGTCCAGAGAAGAGGAAGATATGCAAACAACAAATTAGGATTACCATTAAAAACAAAGACAGATCTCACGTGCAAGATGTTCCAAAGTGACACTGTTGCATTTTTAATAAGTTCTAGAAATAAGTAATATGCCCAAAATGCAAAACATAAAAGCTATTTACCATCTGGACACTTTCTGCTTGAGTCTTTTTTGTTTCAGGTACTTGATAAAATGCGACATATTCCACACTGAAGACAAAAACCAAAGAGTGAGTCATCCACGAGAGAGGAAATCCCATCAATCATGGGATTGAGTGTCTACGTTGTGACTTTTTCCTTCACTTAGAGATAAAATCAGTCCTGCAGAGCGGCAGCACATGTTGCCTTTCTTTACCCGCTCAGCTCAGAGCAGCGCCACATTGGCCCTCCTGGTTTGACCTACATTTTACGTCCACATTGTGTGCATGTAAACACAGCTTCTAGTAGGAGGCAGATCTGGGTTTGGTTAGATGGAGGGGCTCTTTGCCGTCTCTGTTTGCATTAGAGCGGTAAATCTTGGTCATGGGTCTGCAGTCTTGAGGATTTGAGATTATTTGTAGACGTGTATCTTTGCACGAGTAGGGTGTGCACCTTTGCGACTGTAATTTGGGTGTGTGTTGGTGGGCACCTTGGACAGCATGACAAATCTGTGTGTTTTTTGTGTGCAGCCCACAGTGATTATTTTCCGGATTCCTCGAGAAAAACAAGAATTGTTTTGGACAGCCATGAAACTCTTTAAAATGATGGATGAGAGGTCCGTTTCTATAAACCTTACAGTGATTTGTGATAGTTTGCAATATCAGACAATTCTTTCTTTCCGGAGTTAGAAAGAAAAAGCTGAGGTCATGGCTTGGAAATCCCAGGGAAATAACTCAAAACATATTCTGTTACAGTGAATAAAACAGTTTCTTAAAGATCTGTTAGAGAGATTGCAGATGTTATATTTTACCTCATTTTAACTGTAAACTATTAGCGGATGTAACAAGAGAACTTAATTCAAGTCAGCATGTCTGGATTGTGTTTCTATCTGGTTTTCTCTTCGCATCGTACAAATTAAACCTGCAATTATGGAAGCAGAAACAAACTGTGTTTACATAAAGAACATTTTTATATACGTACCAAAAAGAACGTCAAGTTTTGATTCATCAGACCACAGCACAGTTTCCCACTTTGCCTCCGTCCTCAGGCTCAGAGAGGTTGAATCAATAGTAAAAATAGTCATCAATAGTTATTCAGCAAGTGACGTTTTTATCTTGACCTCCGCCAAGGAGGTTATGTTTTTGGTAGCGTTGGTTTGTTTGTTTGTCTGTTAGCAACTTTACGGCGAAAGTAACAGACAGATTGACCTGAAATTTTCACCAGAGGTGCGTCTCAGTCCCAGGAGGATTCCATTAAATTTTGGTGGTGATCCGGACAAAATTCTGGATACTGTGATCCAGAACACACAAAAATAAGGGTGTCGTTGGAATTTTCAATGCTGAAAGATAACAAATGGGCGGCACAGTGGTGTAGTGGTTAGTACTGTCGCCTCACAACCAGAAGGTCGTGGGTTCGAGCTGCTTGGCGGAGGTCTGCGCTCTCCTAGGCTATGTAATAATCACACGAAAAGGTCCCTTGCCATTTTGTTTTGTTTGATATTAATGCTAATTTCTCAAGTCAAGTCAACTTTGATAAAAATCAAGAACACGTAAAACATACCGGGTGATAAGATAAAAAGATAAAACTTGTGTCTTCGTGGCTTCTCTAAAAATGTAACCGTTCAGTTTACAAGGCGTTTTCTTAATCTGTGAGCTTTCTAGAGTGTTTGAGGTGAAGCTCGGATTCGAAACAGCTGCTGTGCATCGACTTGTGTTCATCTGACACTTTCTCTCAGCAGAGCACTGTAAACTGTCCGCCTGCTGTTCTCAACTTGTCTCTTTTTCTATCTCTTCTTTTTCTTCTTTTTCTTCTAAGGCCGGCACAGCAGAGAGTCTAACGGGACAGGTCTGATTATGTATCTTGGCGGCAGCGCCTGTGCGTACATCATTGTGTTTATGAGCTTATGTGCATCTCGGTGTGAGTTAGTGAGTGGGAGGAGAGCGCCAACTCATGGAGCCCATAACAGAGGATGTATACCTTTTCCCAGATGAAGAGAGAAGCAAAGCAGACTCTAAATGATACATGACTTCTTTACAGTGTTTTCTCCCCTGCAGGTAGACCCCCGCTGTGCACCCACGGGCTCCAGTGGACCCGTTCCTTTGAGCTTTAAAGCTCCTTTTAACCTGACGATAATCTCTCACAGCCAGGCTGCTATCTCCCGACATGTGTTGACTGACCCGGCTCTCCTCTTTCACTTTTTCTCTGAATATTTCTGCTGCCAAAACTTTGTCTTCTTTGCTTTTTTTTCTTCTTCTTCTTTGGTCCTTGTCTTCGCCTCTCTTTTTCTTTCACTCCCTCCCACCCTTCCTTCCTCACAGCTCCCTCCTTCCTTTCCTCATCCAGGTAGGTCTTTTGGTGCCAGACGGAGGAGCACAGTGTTCCTTTGTTATTTCCAGGGCTTAAGTGGTGATAACAACGGCAGCAACTCACTCACCAACACATCAGGAGCCTCATATCTAAAGATTTACAAGGAAGTCCCTTTAGTTATTGGAAATCCACTTTCTTGGACACTGGTTCTCATTTTTTTTAAAGGAACCCTTTGACCCAAACAAAAGTCACTTTGGAGTTTGATTCTTCTTTCATATTACCGTTTGTGATCGGATCTTTCGTCAGCTTCTGCACATGCTCACTTGGCCCACATCCATTCGAAAGCGGATGGACGATGCATTACCAGCTGCCTATTCTCCAGTTTAGCCCCTCCTACCTTGACAACGGTTGCCTAGTGCCACAACTGGAGTCCATCACCCCGCCGAGCAGACGGCCAGCCTGCCAGATGTGCGGCCTTCTCCACGCTCTGTTATCCAAGAAGAAACACAAGCTTCACGTACACACATATATCTCTTATCAAGATCAACCTGCGCTGTCAGACTCTGCGAACCCTCTCCTTTCAGAATTTACCAAAGAACATGAGACGGCGTTTCAGTTTCTCTCTGTTTTCCATCCAAACCCCAGAACTGACCTTGCAGTAGCCGCAGATTCCCCCTGTGGAAAGAAGTCTCCTCCAGGACCCTGCTATTAGCGGCTTTGTGGGGCAGAGTGGCGACATGTTAATGACACACAGACACTGAAGAGGCTAGAGACGCTGCACCCCACTGCAGCGAGAGCTCAGCTGACTGCAGGGAACTTTGACTCTTAAAGAAACAAGGAGACAGCAACCACAAAGAGATGGTTTGGTTTTGTGTTGACATCAAGATTTAAGATTTCAGGCAGTTTTTCTAAGCATCAGTGTGCAGCTTTTCAAAGTGTGCTGAGCTTACCCACAAAAGTTATAAGACACTTGAGGACAAGGGAAGGATAATCTTCATTTACAGATTCTGCTTCAGGATCTGTTGGTGCGGGGGCAGATTTGCTCTGATTTTAAAACCCCAATTCCAACAATGTGGGGATCCAGAATTCAACTTAAAATAGTGAAAAGACAAAAAAAAAGTGTTTAATCTGCATTGCAAAACCCATGATGTTTCTTCTAATTTTAAGAAAATCCTCTTTCATCAGCAGTGCACAAACATAACTGCACAATTGGTGATCCCATGACATTTTCCAGGTCACATGACTAGCATTGCACCTCCTGCAATGAGACTTTTGTGCACGCACACGTCACATTTGTGATTCCCTGCTGCATGGGCTCAAACTCTGTATTGGATTTACCATTGACGCAATCTTTTTGGAAACCATTGATGCTGCAACGAAGGAGAACCCAAACTGTTTAGCAGCTAAAATCCAATACCAGGCAACAATCTCACTTCTGAAACTCCAGAATCATGTTCCTTTAGTCCCTGAACATCTGCAGAGACATGTTTTAAGTCCCACTCTGATCGTTTTTCTTTTACACCTTAAAGTGTTCTCAGTGGATACTGGATACTGTGATCCAGAACACACAAAAGTAAGGGTGTCGTTGGAATTTTCAATGCTGAAAGATAACCAATGGGCGGCACAGTGGTGTAGATAGGCGGCACAGTGGTGTAGTGGTTAGCACTGTCGCCTCACAGCAAGAAAGTCTTGGGTTTGAAGCCGGGTCAGGGCATTTCTTGTTTTAGGAACATTATGAACAGTGAACATACCAGTTTAAACACAAATAAAAGTTAATAAAAGACACGTAACAGTAAAAGTTTTGGTGTGAATCACAATATAAGGGGGGACATGAGCTGCTTGGCGGAGGTCTGCGCTCTCCGAGTGTGTTTTTTACACTCCAAAAGGCTACCTTTTCCACCATAAGTACAGCTCACGTGAACTACTTTTCCAAGAATAGCTCTAATGTCTGTGGCATTCAAGGTCATCCTCCTCAAACTGTAACTGGCTGAACAGATTCAGGGTTACTGGATAAACTTCCTGAGGCACTAAGAGGTGGTGTCATCAAGCTAATAAGTCACCATTTCCGAAAGGTTAACTTCCCCCTCATGCCAAACTCTTACCAAACACTTCCACTCCACTGCTTAAACTAACACTGAGTGTAGTCCAAACACAAATGATTGGCTAATAGATCCGCTGTTTTCAAGGCAGCAGAATGATGATGTCATTTCCCAGAGGTTAGAGGTCACAATGATGTGGCCACTGGGCAATCTGTCTGGACTTCTTCCTTGTAAACACAGAGGTTAATGGGTCAGTGGCCACACAGGCACCCAGCCCCTCCTCTCACACACACACAAACACACACGCAAACACACATCTCTGCTGATATGGCAATCACCACCCATATGTGACTGTCCAGGTCAAGAGTGGAGAGTAGCTGTCATGTAAGCGTATCATTGTTTTATGGCACCAGAGATGGTTCAAAGAGAGGTCTGAAGATCTGAAGTGGAGTCCATCAGATAGGCCTGTCAATGAGGCCTGGCTGGAGTCTGACAAACAGCCAGCAAGACGACTGAGCAGACAGTTTCAAAAGAGAGTGGTAGAAGATGAATGGAGAGTGACCAGATGCTTTTAAAAAGCCCAAACAGATGCATGTGCTCACACAGTCTCTCACACAACTCTGTAGTGGAAATCCACAAATGCAGGTTAAAACTGTACCACACCAAGTGGAAACTGTATATAAACACTAATGAGTCGAAGAGATAGGGTAAGGAGCTCGGACACTCGGGAGGCGCTCAGAGTAGAACTGCTGCTCCTCCACGTCGAGAGGAGTCAGCTGAGGTGGTTCGGGCATCTGGTTAGGATGCCTTCTGGACGCCTCCCGTTAGAGGTGTTCCAGACATGTCCCACCGGGAGGAGACCTCGTGGCCGGCCAAGGACCAGGTGGTGGGATTACATCTCTCGCCTGGCCTGGGAGCGCCAGGGAATCCCCCCGGAGGAGCTGGTGGAAGTGGCCGGGGTGAGGGCCGTCTTGGCTTCCCTCCTGAAGCTGCTGCCCCCGCGACCCGGACTCGGATGAAGCGGAAGAAAAGGACGACGTCGAGTCGAAATTCCTTTTAAAAACCAGAGACCACTTCTTTAAAACATGTTGCTGGCTTCTTTCAATCTTGGATTTGTTGTCTGGATACTATTTTCAATGAGACGTTAGGTTTTCATAGATCATTAACCATCAAATTCTCTTTTTGTTCACATTTTATGCCACATTGCAACTCTTCTGGAGTGGGAAACATATTGCTTCTCTTTTTTTTTTTTTATGTAAAACCAAGAATTACAGCTGAGACAACGGCAGCCTTCAACCTTCCATCCATGACCTTCTGCAAAACTTTAACCGCCTACCCCAAATCTCCTCCATTGACCTCATTTCCCAGAAATCATTGTGTTGATCCGCCGCGCTGAAATGAAAACAGAAATCTCCCTGATGACTCACAGGGATCTCCATTGTCCTAACAACTTGCCAGCGTAACAGCAGCTCTCCATTAAGATCGCCAAGATGTGGTCAAATGGAAAACACCAGCTTTTGTTCAGGACTCTGACAAACTTGTTCCAGGTACATCAATTTGTCTGAACTCATTAGCGCGTCGTGTTGTGCTTCAAGCGTGTAATTTAGCTGCTAAGGTGAGTACATTGGGGGAGAGCAGTGATCGATTTAGACATTAAATATGTTTATTTAAACGCTCAATGTCCTCCTGGAACGGCAACTGACCATTTTTGACCAGTGTGCGAGGAAAGTTGGCCGCAGCAATGACAGATTGAGACTTTGTTTAAATATTTACTCCAAAGTTAAAGGAATTAGCAAAGTCGTGGCTCTAAAGCAAATGACACAGATGATAAAATATTATATGGATTAGAGACTGTTCCATACTGAGAGCTTATCCCCCCGTCATGGGTGGCCTCCAGCTTTCCCATCACTCCCCATTAGAAACAACGGGGCTGATAGCGCGAGCTCTTTGCAAGGCTGACATCAAAGGCTTCAATAAGTCAGCTGTTGTTTGGCTCGCCGCTCGTCAGACTGGCACAAAGCAAGCCTGAACTTCAGAAGCTCTGGCCCGGCTTTCACAAAGAAAAGCAATGATGTCAAGATTTTTGGCGGCGCTGCAGCATCACACCACTCTGAGGGCTTTAGAGGAGCTAAAAGCTCTGCTGAAACTTGGAGGCCGAGGTGTGATCATAAATCAGAGTTCCCTCACACTCCCTCACTCTTTGCTCACTTTCTCTCTCTCTCTCTCTCCCGGCTTCTCCTCTCCTCAGCCAGAGACGGCACATTTTAAACCCATTAGCAATCGGCCTGCCAGCTGTACATCAGCAGAAAACCATAAATTGTTTTATTGGATGAAGTTTCTGCAAAGTGATGAGCTCAGCGTTGCCGATTCCCGGTATACCACTACCTTATTGTGTGTGTGAAAGCGTGCCTCTTGTCAAATATTGAAGAAATAGTAACAGTATTGATGTTTGCATAAGGTCCCTTGTGCATTCATCATGCCTTTTCTCCAAATCTGTGTCAGTAGGCCAGGAGTTTCATAGCATTTAAATATTAAATTTGCTTTGCAAACATTTGCCTCCCTATTTACGAGCTCGCTAGAGGCCGTCTGTTTTCTTGCAGGCGTGGGGTTAGTAAGCATGAGTCTCACCCACGTTTTCAGTAAATGTTTGTACGCTGCAGCAACTTTCTCTGCAAAAACTGCTGATTTATGGCACCTGGGTTCCTCTTTCCTCGCTGCTTTCTCTCTCTCTGTCTTTAACTCTGCGCCTGTGGAAGAAGGAGCAGCCTGTGCAGAGTTGTTCACACTAGTACCCATCTCCCCCCCCTTCACCTTCCCGCTCTCACCAGCCCCTCTGATTCACACAGCTGTGCGTAGTGCAAACACTACAGGAACCCTTTGGACGGTGTTGCCAGAGCAACACAGACCACAACCAGGTAGATCCACGGTTGCTCCAAAATGCTGCCTTTAGCTGCTCCTGGAGGTTGGTATATGAGTGAGTGTTATCTATTAATGTGGCGGCAATTAAACCAGGGGTCAAAGTTCCACACGGTGGTCTTTGCCAAGGATGCGCGGGGTCAACGTGGGGAATTTGGGGGGCATGAATTGGTAGCACAACAAGGTTTCAGGTTTTGTGTTGGTGTTTTCCCTCGTTGCCTTGGGAATGGGATTCCTAAAGATGGGAAAGACCCTTACCCACCTCCTCAGTATACACACTCCAACACCCACTCCTCAGTGAAACAACATTTCGGTGCGTCAGCAGGATTGCAGACTCCAGGGAGGAATGTTGTCTTGGAGGACAGGTGCGTCACACCTGTATGGCCTGCAGTGTGTACGGGAAATATTCCCTCCATTTCCCTTTGACCTCCCCCTCTCCCCCCCGCTCTCAGCAGAGACCCCACAATAGCTGGTGAGCGGCCACTTTCCGTTATACAAGGCCCTACGTTTGAGCCAATAAGGCTAATGGGTGTGAAGTGGAATATAAAATTATCGTCCCCATTAGCGGACAGTGTGCACCATTCATAGCTGTGGAAGAATATACATGAATAGCTGGAAAGGGTTTTAATTAGCTCTGCCCAGTATAGCACATGCTAAATGTTAACTGTTACATACATAATGGTGCTTTTAAGAAAGACTGCAGGATAAAAATAGAAGAAAAAAATAGAGGGAATCAC